TCCTAATTGTCAATCATTCTGGTCATATGTTTACATCAGGCTGTCCTACCTGCTTGTCCCCATTTTCACTTTCCAGTTGTGAGTCTGACACAGAGGAAAAATGGCAGATATTCTTTTGGGAACTAAGCTTGTATGAGCGATGCAAACAACAACTTTTAAACAGAGCGGGCACAAGGAGAAATGGGCTCGTGCACGCTCTTGTACACGTGTAATAGGAGTGGGTAAAGGGTTATAAATGTGCTTTTTTTTTTTTTTTAAGTGGAGAGGGTGGGCCTTTTTCAAAACATTAACGAACATCCTCCCCTATACCTTTAAACATTTTACATCATATGTTGAACCTCTTTCCTTCGGCTTTCAGTTAGCAGAACCTCAACCTCCAAACCTGTAAAGTTTTTCTTTTTTGATGCCTTTTATTGTGACTGACCACCATCTAACAAGCGCTGGAAGCCGCCCCCTTATAGGACATTATTGGGGCTTTCATTTTTTTAAATTTCTCAGAACTCACGCAGGTGGACTGCAACAGGTTTACCAGGATCATTTACGCTCATTTTCTGAAGTTAAGAATGTTTGTTGAATCTGATATGGGGCATTACTGAAAGCACACGATAGGAGAAAAAGTGCAAAAGTTATGAGAGGAGCAAGCAAATGTTTTTGCATAAAGCCCTATGTTTTCATATTTTACACATTGATTGATTGATCGATTGACTTTATTGATCTCACAGTAGAGATAGTCAAAAAGAAGAAGGTACCAAAGGAAGAAAAAGGTGCATAAGGGTATATACAGTATATACAGTGCACACACACACACACGCCACACACATATATATTGCCATAATGTGAGTGACATAAGTTCACTAATCAGTCCCTTTTGAACAAACTGAAGTGCTCTGCACTAAATAAAAAAAGAACAGTTATTTTGAGAAAATTATATTTTAAGGAATATTTCCTAAAGAGATCTAGCTACCAAGCATCTGGTCCATCAGCTAATCCAGCCTATTGCTTTAGAAACTGTTAGAAAAAAAAAAACACTTTAAAATCTGGACAGATAAAACTGTAGAAGTTGAAACAAACTACAGACTTTCGGACTTAAACTTGTAGAGTGTTTTTTCGTTCATTTAAAGTCTCTAAAATAATCCCACCATCTAACTGATAGAAAGTAACAGAAGTGGCTCTTTAAGTTTCCAATTACAGACAAATAATAGCATCTCTCTGTGTGGCGGCTGTATATCCTCCCCATCTGGATTTGACCCATCCCTCTCTCCGTCCTTTTTTAGTCCCCCCCCCCCCCAGAGATCACCCTTTTCCTCCCATCTGCACATCTCAGGCCTTTTTACCAGTGCTTTCAGGGGAACTGGAGCAGATTATAATCTCAGGAAATGCTTTTATTGCTTTCATTGTTTGAATCACACGGTGCTATCGGTGTCTGAAGCACAGCTGCTGTTCCAGCAGGCTGATAATCTACCTTATGTAATGTGCATTCATATCTGTTTTTGAGCAAGCAGCCGGAGTTTGATGGACCTGCTGGTGAATCGTTTTAAATCTGGTTTTAATTTGGGCTTTTTATCATCTCTGACAGCAGGAGGGAGCAGATGATTAGAGCATCTCAGCAGAAAAACACCCACAGGTTCTGCTCTGGCTGCTCCGGATTAAAATTCACATATTATTAGACATGAAGCCTGCATGGTTTTATATGTCGTTAAAATCCTTAGAAATAAGCTCATAGAGTAAAAGTAAATACAGGTTATTATGATTCACATTTAAAAATGTTAACAGCAACCAAGATGCATCTTTTAATGGACGAACTGATTTATTTCCACACGTTGTCGAATTAAAAACAATAAAACCTAAAAAGATTTGCTTTGTTGGGGAAAGTGACATTTCATTTTTTTAACAAAGAAAATCTAACATGAGGAAAAAAAATGAATAAATAGTCTTCTAGATTCAGTTAGGTGCATTATTGAATTATTATTTTGATCAACATGAAGATAATCATTCAGAAAACATATAAAGTTCAATATAAAACACAGTAATCTGAGTGTCTATGGATCACATTTCCCTCCAGGATAATAAAGTATTTTAAAATTTAATAATTTAGATTTTATTAGAAAATAAAATGAGTAAATCTTATGATTATCACTATATTGGAAATAAAAAAACATAGAAGCAGATATGTAAAATAAATTGTAATAGATTAAATACATATATTTTATTAATAAATTATTACTTTAATAATTATTCTTACATATTTGAATTTAAAATTTGCTATGAAAATAAACTATTATGAAAAAAGTACTCGAATTATATTTTTTATACATATTTTAACTATTTAAATATCTGACTACCATACAGGTAACCCTTGTTCAAATAACACATTTATTTATAAATTTAAATTTGAAACAATACAATTCAGAAATGAAACCTTAAAAGATTTTAATTAAGAAGTTTTGAGATTAACTTTGCTCAGATGTTGTTGTTTCAAACTTATTTTTCATATCAAATTTTTTTAAATTGTTCAATTATTATTTTTTTTACTTTATTTTTAGTTTTTGAACAAGAGCTAACACAACCAGGTAAGGGCTAGAGCACACATGCAGCATATAGATCAGTGTATGAATCTCAAGAATATTAATAAATAACACATTTAGACCGCAACCCAGGAGCAGGGTACACAACCAACGGTCAGAAGAGGCAGATATATTGTCCAAAAGTAATTTGTTGCGAGTCTCAGAGCCCAGAGTCTCACCTTTCGCAGGGAGAAAGGCAATGTTTCTATTCCGTGGATCTGGTGTATAACGCTTATAAAGTGCCTCATGGTGGGGGGGCTTGACTGAAGCCAGCATTTGGTGATTGCATTCCTGCTTGACATCAATAAAATCTTTAGTAAATGTGTGTCAATTGAACTGAGCCCTTCAGGGAGTTTTCCGAGGTATAAGGAGGTGAAAGTAAAGTCCAACACTGTGTCCAGGGTTTCAGAGATGATCTGCTTAACATTGTGCCTAAAGACCTTTGGAACAGGACCAGTAATAATTCAGATAATCTGCAGAAACCACCCCACACCCTCTCTAGCAGGGCACCCCTGCATTACTTAACCTCGGTTCATGCTCTGGTGTAATTAAAAAAACTCATAAGGTTCTTCCAGCCAAAATCCCGCTTTTCTATAGAGTTATAGTTGAGACCAAAGTTACTCTGAGATTGTAATGTTGGCTTCCTTATCCCAACGCTGTCTGATATAATCTGTTGGCCTCTTGTTCATAGTTGCAAAATTTCAATAAAGCTTTCCAATGAAGCCTTTTGTATTAGTACCGGTATAGGCATCCATGAAGACTTGCATTATCCCTGGATTTAACACTAAAGGGCTGGTTATACTCCCGTAGCAGTGTGTCGCAGTGAGCATGTCGGAGGTATAACACAGACATTTTTGATTTACACTCAATATTGAAGCGTGGTCTGCGCTGTTATTCCATGCCACGATGCAAAATGGGAAAATAAGGAACTAGCTTTGGATACAGATACAGACGAGGCGGTGAGGAAGTGGGGGCAGGTTTGTCCGACAACAGAGGGACATGAGGGTGAAAAAGAACGGGGATCCAGGTGGAAAAAGGGTTTCAGCGTTCTCGCGCACCTCCCTCTTCTAGCTGGTCCAACTTCACGAGTCGTTTTCCACAATGGCGGTCATACAAACAAAACAGGCCTGTAAGGTACCAAACAGGAAATACGCATAGCGTAGAGCGGATGTAGAATTGGACCAATCAGAGGCCTCCTGTCTGCGGCACTGTCTGCTGTCACCTACAATTATGGAGAGGTGCAGCAGAGAGTCGGTGGAAGGGGCGGGGACGTCTCTGCGTTCATTGAAAAACACACATAGACAACCTGGTTTTCGAAGTATAAATCAGCCTTAAGTCAAGGGTCATTATTTCCCTCCTGTAAAAACTCTGCACCTGCAGATAACGAAACAAATCTCTCCTTCCAATCTCATAAATCTGGCATAAATCCCTGAAATGTAGTAAATGTGCATTTTTTTTATTATTTCAAAGAAGGAAGTGATTCCCTGTTTGGCCCACAGCCTGAATTTATGGTTTAGACATGCTGGAAAAAAGCATGGATGGTACGCAGCCCAACTCAACACTCCTATCTGTTTTTCTAGATCGTATTTTTTAACCACCTCAGTCCACTTTTTCAAGAAAAAACTTACACAGCGGTTTTAGAATGGGTATACTTAAGCCTGTCTAAGGAACCAAGCACAGATTTTATAGGGAAGTCCAGTATAGAAAGCTCAATGTTCTTCTATTTAGACTCGTAGTTTGGATAAAATTGTTGAATTTTTTTAAATGTATATATATCATATTTTTTTTCAAAATGTAAAAGAAAAACATTTCTCCAGATTTTACATTTTACAGACGTCCATGCAGGCCAATAGAAATGCGTTTTTCGCATCTCAATTCAGAGTAAAGTCCCCAGAAGTTAAGAGAATTAGTCAAACTCTGTCTGTAAAACAGAAATAAAAAAACTAACTATAATATAATCAGTAAAAATAAAAAAAATTTAAGAACATTTTGAAGTTTTATTGCTGGATTGCTTTCTTTAAAATGTTAAAATATGTTCTATACAACAATAATTGAAAAAGATTCCCTGTATAGGCATCCAGCTTAAAAAAATTTTCCATTCTGACCTGCTGTAGAGACCCCTGAATAAAGGAGCCGCCAGTAGGACAACAAATCGAGGCTATTTAAATGAACTTAACTTAAACGAGTGCATTGAAATAAGAAGTATCCAATTTTAAATGTGAATCAAATATATATGATCTTTATAAATGTGCATTATATCTGAGGGCAGATAAATCACAGCTGTCGTATCTGAGGCTTTATATCCTTGGAGTTTTCCATGTGAGCGTGTAGAAACATGAAGCTGTGACGTGTCGGCCTCCTGCAGGGAACCTCTAACTGTGGCATCACTGCTGTGACTCAGGTGTGTAACCTCAGTTTGTGTTTGTTGTGTTTCAGGATGCACACCCCGATCCCGAGGACACGGCGGGAGACGACGACTCCATGCCCGCCTGCACTGTGAGTCCCTGCAGGTTGCTGTGTGTCTCAGAGTCCGACTGGCTTTTATTGACGAGTAAACAACCTTTGCGACTCGCTCGGCCTCTTCCCCATGTCTGGGTGGCTTTTAGTTGTGCTCTGCGATGATTTATTCGCTGTTTGAGGAAAATGTACGCCCACCGCTGCTGTTAGATAATTGCTGGTATGAAAGTGAAGCACAATGTGGCTCACTTTTCAAATCATGAGTCATCTTAACACAGAATAAATCCTCCCTCCAACCTTCGTCACATTTTAGGAGCTTGGATTAGTTATTAATGGAATTAATCTTTTCTTCTACAGTGAACATTTTTATTCCCTTCTTTTTGCCGTCTCAGACACTTTGATTATTAAAGATTTTATTACACCAAAGAAAGTATGTTTGGTAATTTGTCTCTATTTTTAATTTGTGATTGATATAGATACACTGGTAAATAAGTAGACATTTCTTAAATTAGGTGATTTACCTGTGATTTAAGTAGGTAAATGATAGTTTAATTAGATAATATGCACTTGAATTAAGACAATGAAATTGTGTCTTATTTTAAGTGTAAATTGTCTTGTTCCATGGGCAAAAATGACTCTTTTACTTCCTCAATCCAAGAACAAATGCACTTATTTAAAAAATATATATATAAACATTTCCAGTGTATGGGTCCAATGTGAAGAGTTTTGCTGCATTTCTATTCACACCCCTTTATTCTGATGTCCCCAAATAAAACCTAATGGTACCACCTGCCTTCAGCTGTCACCTGATTGGTCATTAGAGTCCAGCTGTGTGAAATTAATTCCCAGAATAAATCCAGCTGTTCTATAAAGGATAAACAGCAGCACATATAGAGGAAGGTGTACGATTTTAAATCCATGTTCATTAATAAAATTATTGTATTTAATCCTTCGGCTAATGAATAACTTATACAGCTTTATTTAAAAAGGATTGAAAGTGTCTTTTAAAGACATAAGGACATTTTTTTTTCTTTTACAATAAGCAGAATAAAAAAAGTGGTACATTTTTAAATCTTAACAGTTTGTTGTGCCAGCTGTATTAAATACTGACTGAAACAAAACATTCTTTCCTTGCTCATTATTAAGCTAGACATTTAGAAGACAAATCCTGTTAGGGTGTTGAATTAAAAAAGATAATATATGTGATACACTTATATTTACAGTCGGGGTATGTCGCTCTAACGTACTGTCAGACTATATAGCGCCTTGTTTCAATGAAGTAGAAGCTAACTGTGATTTAGCATTCATTGCTAGGAGACACTTTGTGCTGCTAGTGGCAGCTTTAAACTAGTGGATAAAATGGCGCTATCTGTACGATAACTTAAAGAGGTTTTATAGCTCCGTTCACACCGCAGCCTGAAGTGACCCAAATCGGATTTTTTTGCCCACATGCGACCTGGATCTGATCTTTTCATAGCAGTCTGAAAAACACAAATCCGATTTTTTTCCAATCCGACCCAGGCCACTGCCTATGTGGTCCTGAATCCGATACAAATCTGATCTTTCAAATGCGACCTGTATCTGAACAGCCAGGTCGTATTCATTCGACCTGAACGCCATTAACACCCGACATAGATCAATATCTGGGTCTTTGCTATGAAGGAGCGGCAAGAAAATCAACAACCATGGTGGACGATGATGTCGAGAGTGGTATTTATGTTTAATCATCTTGAAAGATTGAGTTTTTATGGTTGGGAAAGATCGCTAGATGCGCTCCAGCACTCCCATCAATGTTTACTTCCGTAAACACAGAGCACGCTGGACTGTGACATCACTATGTTCTCTACTGCGTATGCGGGACACTTGCGTTATATGAATGCATTCACACAGGATATCACATACAAGTCGTATATATTTGGAAATGTAAACAGCAGCGCAAAAAAAAAATCGGATTTCACATAAAAATCGGAATTGAGCATCAAGGCCTGCCGTGTGAACGTAGCCTATGTTTACTAACAGAACTGCATAAAGTTCATTCTGCATCCTAGTCACCGTTAGCGAGAATAAATAATCCTGGACCAGATTCTGGATCCCTTCATGGTTCTTTGGCATTGCTTCATTAGCAAATAACAGTAAGCTTCCATAGAGAGCGCCCACTAGTGGACGGCAGCAACATGACATCACTAAAATAGATACTTTCTATATGAAATAATTAGATGGAACAAATTTGAATCTAATAAACCGTTAACCAACATTTTATCATAAGTTTATTATATTTTTTAATCCTTAGTGTTCTTGGCGTGTCAGAAGGAAAGCTAGCAGCCTAAACCAGGGGTGTCTAACGCTGCTGTCCTTCCACCGTTAGATGCGTTCCTGGTTAACCACATGTTTTCATGCACATGTTCTACAGAGACCTGCTAATGACCCAACTATGTGATTCACCAACATTACATCTAAAACAGAGTTTTAAAAGTAGAACTTCCCAGAGCTGTGAAGGCAATAACTACAATGCTAGATTTTTAAAAATCTAAATCAGTCACTTTTTCTTAAAATAGGTGCATTTTGTTTTGAATTCAGGAGAGAAGTGAGACACTTTGGCAATGGAAAAAGACTACTTACATTTAAAATAAGAACAAAACTATTGCATTGTCAATTCCAAAAAAGTAAAACATAAATCCAATGGAGTTTGTTTCCAAGTTTGAAGAGTTTTTGCTTCCCATCCAAGAAGCTTTTTTAAAATCTAGTGTCAAATGCATTTTATCTAATTATCTCATTTTAAGAGTAAAAATACTCATTCCATTGGCAAATCATCTTATTTACTCACTCAAAATAAGGATAAATACACTCCATCTAAAAACTTTCTATTTACTTTTCTAGATGCCTCTGATTGGTCAACTTTCTACTTACTTTTCTAGAACATTTTTGCAGTTTATGCCTTTCACAATAAACAATAAATCAATTAATCGCATGATAGATTTAAGTTACATCAATAATTATTGTTTGCATGCTTGGTTATTCTCCTTATGTCTCTCTCTGTTTATACCAAACTTTGTTGTTTCCTTAGCATAGCATTTGTAGCATGAGAACCTACCTGAATGAGGAGTAGCAAACCAGAGAAATGCTAGCTGAGGTTTTGGGAAACGGAGATGGAAAGTTTCTAAGCCAAACGCAGCAGCTGCAGTGTGGGAGCACTTTGGATTCTAACCCAACACCATGCTTGTTGGGTTTTAATCCAGAGAAATGTGAGTTTAAAAGATTAAAAGAAAATGATCAACACAGAGACCGGGTTTTGTGACGTCAGCGTGTGCCGGGTGGAGAGAAGAATGCTGGCTTGGAAAGCCATCACCTTCTCCCACCGATCCCTTCATAGCAAAGCCTTTTATTAACAGTTTACAACATCAAACAGGCGGGCCTAAAACAGAAGAGCCAGTAATCATTGTCTGGGAGGATGCAGGTAACAAGATAGTGTGAATTGACCAACTGGCTGGATGGAAGTCACACAGCCGTGTGATTCTGACTGGAGGTCATAAAAGTTTATGACCCTTCTGGTTGAAACACAGGATAGTTATCACTCTAACATTTCCCTCCTCTTATACATAAAAACATCAGCATCTTTCAATTCATATTTTATTCATAGGAGTAGGAATATGAGTACAAACATAACAGTCTGTTTTGTTCAAATCTTCAGCAACATGTTTTGCATGTTGCCACCACATCTTGGCACTGTAGGATGACTTGCTGTGGATCCATCAAAAATCATCCTGCTCTTCCTTTGTTTCAGACAGTCAGTTTGAGTTCCTAGGAACACCGGTCCAACAGTCATCACCGGGCAGCATAACCACTTTGGTTTTTCAGATCTTTGCCAGTCCGTCCAAGGAAACACCCACTAACCGGACTCTAAAAGACTGGGTTAGGTTGTTTTTTTCACCAGCGTTGAGACGAGTGGTCCTATAAAAACCAAACCCCTTTGAAGCTGGACTTCACCACAGATCTATACCTTAGTCGTGGGGTCCCTGTGAAAGTAACTGGGCTTTTTTGCTGTGGAAAGTTTTTAATCAGTTTACAATGACTCTGGTGGATCCAAGTGTCTCTCTCCTGGATTTTCACGGCAGTGGGGGTTGTTAGTTGCTCTATGTAGGGTCCTTCCCACCTCGGAGCTTTCCAAGTTTTCCTTTTGATGATTTTAATCAGCACTCGGTCTCCAGGCTTCAGGCCTTCCTGTGGGGAAACAAAAGGAGCACTAGGCAGATTACATGTTTTCCGAACAGTTTTGTCGCTGAAAAGCTTCAGCATCCACTTAGTTAGCGGGTCAATGTCATCTTGTTCGTTTTCTGCCCATGGCTTTCCTGTTTCTGCCATGAATTTTCTCAATCTATTTTTAACATCCTCGAACCATTTAACTGGGTTCTGTCTGGCTGGAGGTAAACCTCGACAGGCAGTCCGCATCTCTGCATCTGTCCATGGCCCACACACAAGAACAGTGGGTCCACAATCCAGTGGGTCACCATCTTGGGATCCCGTGCGTTGACCACAATGAGGGTTGGCCACCTCCAACACCGGAAAAGCACATGCTCCCTCCCCAGGATCTTGGTCCTGTTCTTGTTTTTTTAATTCAGCCAATCTTGGATAAATAGGGGCAGATGGGCCCCTTCCACAAGCCTCCACTTGATAATCATCCCTGTAACGCTTCGAATCAAGCTTCACATCCCCCCCTGATCCTCCCAACTCATGCTCACAAGAGTCAGAGGCACTGAGTTCCATACCATCCACAGAGGACGACACGGACAGGGGGCCTGCTCCTGCTCCTCCAATATCACCACACGATGGTGGGGCCACTGGAGGAGGAACAGTGGCATGGCTGTGTTCATATTCACCATGATGGGGTTTATCTCCACCTTCCTGCACAGCTGATGCCACTGCTTGAACCCCATCACCCCCTTGAATTTGATTAGGGTCAGGATATTGAGGAAGCATACGGGATACAACAGTTTCTTCATCAGCTTTAACTTTTACAGCAGCAATTGTAGCTGTCTTTTTAT